ATATCGAATAATGTCCGCGTCTGCCAGAGGAAATCACGGCGGAATCATCCAATTAACGAAATACCTAATTTTCAATGAAATTCCCATTATATTGCATATGGGGATAAGCTTTAATATTAAAGCATTTTATTAAAACGTAAAATATTAAAACACTGTAATGCATCCAGTGCTCGTCAAATAGCGTCCGTGTTTGTACTGCAAACGTTTCGTGCGCATTTGCAGCTCGGAAACAAATTATATCATTTCCTACCCTGCTTACCACCGTCGCAATCGGTAAATATTCCATCGTGCAAGCAGGAATTTAAAAGTCATCGCTAACCGTATAGTTGATGACTTTTATCGATATTATAATACTAAAGATATAATGAATATGAACGTTATTATCTCATTATTGTTGTGATCGAAAAAATTTATTATGAAATAAAAATGTCTCTTTTTTATTCTTTTATCGATATATTACTTTAATTTTACAGAGATTGCATATTATATAATTATAGTCTCTGTGCACAAAGTGAATGCAAATATAAATACGTATTCTATAAAATAATAATTAATATTTTTATAATTATTAATTTTTTAAATTGATGCTTTTTTTAAAAACATAGCATTATATAATAAATGGTTTTTTTTCAACCTTCACACTTTGTTCCTTTTTATAGAATATAAATCATAAATTATTTTTATTTTTTAACTGAGAAAGAGAGAGAGAGAGAGAGAGAGAGAGAGAAATAGATTTTATTTTTCAAAATCTGTTAGTAAATTATTTTCTAGTGAAAAGCTTTATTTTTTCAAACATGAATAATTATTATTACAAAAAAATATAAAATAATAAAGCAGCTATATGTAAAAAAAAAATAGATTATTTTTGGCATAAGAATGCGGTGTATTTGACATATAAACAAACCGTCTCTTCTCTTTTCCGGAAACCGCGAGAACATCGCAAGTTCCATCGTCTATTTTTACAAGTCGACCCTTGAGGGTCAAGATTTGTGAGGGCGAGGGATGCCTCTGTCTTTGCGCTGTCGACGTGAAACATTTGTCGCGATCAAATCCTCATGGTTCCCGGCATCACCGAATCGTCTTTTGTCAAAACAAACGAGCCAATTGCTCTCGAGTTATATTCAAACGATAAAAATTGAAAGATTAATTCGTTTTATTTTATATTATTATATTTCTACTTTTTTGCACATGATCTTTTTTTTAATAATTTATATTTATACATTTGATACTTTGAAATCATTTATATTTCTGTAGAATTATAGAATCGTAAAAAATCGACGAGAGATTAAAACAAAAATCTTCGCGAGTTGTTCGTTATATGTCGCAAATTCTTTTTATTTTTTTAAAAGACGTTTGATGTTGTCACTTGTCATCGGAAAATAGAGGCAGGTGCAAGCACTCAGCAGCAGTTTATTTTCGTACGCTCTATGGAATTCATGTCAGGATGCAATATTTTTTCCTGATTCATATTTTTAATTACATTGCTTATGTAATTGGTAAAACTTCTTTGTTAATAAAAAGCAAGATGCAATTATGAATTATAGAGTTTTAATATTATTTTATACTCGTATGATTGATATGGAATAATTTTTATACAACAATAAATTATGTAAAAATTAATTTACGACAGTGATTTTCATATATATATTCCAGATACCAGATTTTAATAAAATATTTACAAATAATAATTATGAGTAATTTATTATCTATTAACGTTTTACATGCAAATATTATATTAGCAAAAATGTAAGCGAGGGAAAGACAAAATAGGACTTTCAGTTAAAATATTATTGCGAAAGTAGTATCTAATCAACTGACGTGGCGTAATCAAGAATTCTCATTAAAAAGTAAAAACGCATTAAAAATTACAGCAATGCTCTGATTAAAGCTTTCGAGAGCTTTCAACTAGCGTGTTTATCACCGGAAGCATGATGCGTTTTTAAACGTGATAATTCGATATATCACTGGTCCTGACATCGATATCGTCGTATAAGCAGACATGCCTAACTAGATTTTCACGGTATCGCTCGTCGATCTATCCAATCTATTTATGGCCATTTGCAGCAGACGAAGAGCGATTTATTATTACAGGGAAGTGTAATTGGGAGATTTCATCGAGTCAGTAACGAGACTAATATTGAAACGACGACTATTCGAAATAGAAGGACCGTGTAATTCGAAGCATAAGAATATATCATTACCGTATTTCTTTAAAATTACCGTATCTCTATTTTTAATATCATGGCTTTGCAAATATGACAGGAATAAATGTTTTTGTATTATCTGAAAATGATATATTATTGTTATTTACACACATATAATTTACAAGTTTGAGAGTAATATATTTATATAATTTACAAGTTTTTTTGGAAGAATAAAAATTTAATTTATAATTATGATAAAAACTTTTAATAATTATTTAGTGAGCACTTCAAGATCCGTTAATTACACAATAAAAAATTTTCTGGAACTATTGATGTCTAGAATGATTTAACAATTAAGGAGACTCGATCGTAAGGGCATAATCTCCGAAAGAAATTATCCGAAAGAAATTAACTGATAAATCTCGTCTCATTTCTTCTTTCGGATAAATTTTCTTCATCTCGTCGTCGCGACATTAATTCCGCCAATTTCCGTTACCCGATGCTTCGTAAAACTAACCGCGATTATCACTCAGGAATTTCGAAGTGTATGCAAAGTGCATGTACGCATTCACGCGTCGTCAACTTTGCGTTATTTTATCACATGGGGGGGGGGAATGTACGATAAAACTCGAAGCATCCAATTATGCATAACGCGCCTAGTATTCTTAGCGACCAATTCCGAAGCAAAAATTTGCTTCATGTGTTTTACAAAAATTGTTGAAAAGTGCTACGGTTTAAATAAATAACAAATTAAAACTTACAATTAAAAATTAATTTAATAAGAAATATTTGATAGGGCAAAGAAAAAATTAATTATGGAACTATAATAATATTTTTTGCTGGAATATTTTTTAATTCATAGAATTAAATATTTTGATATTTATACTTGAAGTTAATCAGCTAGGATAAATTAATTATTCCAATCGTCACTTTTTTGTATATTGATTATTTCCTAATATTTTTCAATAGAATATTCGCTATATTTTCATATTATCCAGCACCGTTATTATTACGGTGTTATATAAATCAAGATACAATTTTAAACAGCCGTAAAGATAGCACGACACATTGGTCATACGATGTAAACGGAATTCCAGCGTGTTTCTTCGGGCTTCTTCGGCGTAAATTTTCAATATATGATAAATGTTCGCCGCGTTCGGTCTATAAATTGCTTGTAAATAATTCCGTCCATTACATCTAGTCGATAAATTTGAGCCGCAGTTGTAACATTATTCCTAAAAGTCGACGCGCTTAGATTTCAATTTAGATTCGACAATTTAAACGCGTCTCGACGACGTCAAGGACCCGGAGATGCTGGGAGGCGCCACGCTCTTCCGAGATAAACCGTTCGAATAAAACTCGGTGGTATCCGTTGATGGATGCATCAGGATATGCATCGTGATCGCGACCCTGATCCCACCTTCCTCATCCGCGGCTATCGCGCGCCTCGCGATAAATATTTACCGTCGTATAAAGGCTTTCGGCATTCTTACAACGCAACGAAACGTTATGAAGCCACCTTGAGATACGAGCGATTAACGCATAATTAAAATCAACCGAGGAGGAATCCGGCACGTCGGCACCGCGAACTTTTCCTATAAGTTTATGCATTTACTCTCGGTGACCGAACCGCGGTGGGGTTCGCGGCGACAAGCTTTGGCAATTAATTATGCATTCCCGTCTCAGAGTACGTCTGGCGCGCAAGGCTCGAGACAGAACTACAGAAGTATCCCGCTGGATACCGCGGGCACGCGGCCGTCCGTACCATACCGCGCTTTTTCCTTCGCCCACCTCCTTCCCCTCCTCCTCCTCCCCTTCACCACGACTGCCTCTTTCCGCCTTTCGTCTCCTCGTCTTTTTTTTCCCTTTTATTCGCCGTTTTACGGGGCAATAAATTGCGAGTAAACGAGCCGGACCGCGTTGACCTACGACGGTGCGGTTTTCGTTTCGCGGCTCTGAACTTAATGCGACGCGCGCGCCTCGACGGCGAGGACGACTCGACGTCGCGAAAAGTAATTACGACGCAAGTTGAATACTTTTTAAATCGCGTTAGCCGACGTCTTTCAAGAGGCGGTGCGAGCCCCCGGTGATCCCATTCCTCGAGCGCGCGCGCTGGCTAAATCCTCACTTCCGAGGACATCAAAGGCATCCTTTAAATGCATTTAATTGTCAAATAAGAGGGAATTACTTTCTTTTCATTCTGTTTTTCTTTTTGCTGAAAATTATTTCACGGATAATACTTTTCATTAACGCATAAATATGGTATATACTACATTACTATGTAATGACACTTACTTCTGTTTGAAAATTGAATGAGAAAAATGTGTAAGAATTGCCTCAAGTAATTTGTAGCCTCTTCTACACTGTTGGATATTAAAGGAGGCAATAATTGAGGAGACAACCTAATTCGTAAGATTATTTAACTTTTTGTAAAATTGTATTTGAAAATGGCTAAAAAAATAGCTAAAAGATATAATGTATATTTACATGGTTTCAGTAAAATCAGTGTTTTAATAATTAAATTTTGTGCACACGAAAGTTCCATGCCTGACTCTTATATGTTTGTTTTTTCACTTATTGTTTTCAATTTCAAGGCCTTTGTTTGTCTACGAAATATAACGCGATAATACTTATTGCTTGCTATTGAATTATATAAACAGAAAAGGCAATTATAACAGAAAACTGATTAAGAGACTTAAAAAGATCATCTCACACATCTCATATTTTACGAATTATTAGTAAAGTCAACGAACTTTAGATAAAAACAATTGACAATCTGTTTGATGAAATCCGTAAAATAATATCGTCTTGATACCAAAGCTATTCTAATCGTAATGTGAATCATTTTTATTTCAGGCAAGAAGAAATTCCCTTCGGATCCCTCCTGCTGCCCTGTATGCGGAGTGACAGTGAGACCTCAAGAACTAGAGCAACATTTTGCTCAAGAGCTCGATCGATTGTACAAGGTCTCCTCGGCATCTTCAAGACCTCGACCCTCGAGGTCGACCTTACCACCAACGCATCCCCAAGATCATTCCCATGGCACGATGCTCCATGCCCCATCGGCGGCGGATGGCACCCCTCAGGGTAGATGGGAAACATACAAAAGGATCAAGGCCAACAGACAAGTAATGCATTCTTTATTTCCTCTTTTAAACCTGATCTGCAATGTGCTCTTCGCTTCTCGTTTCTTGCTTTTTCTTCTTGCCTTTTTGCTTCTTATTTTGTTTCTTCATTTTCTGTCGCTTGAGATAAAAGTTGATAAGCTTCCGAAGAGACAAGAAACACATGACAAGAAACACGATTGTCGATAAAATCGCAAGGAAGGAAAAAGGCAAGAGGTAAAAAATAAGAAACAGAAAGCAAACAGCATGTTGTAGATCAGACTTTAATCTTTCATTAATCATGCGACGTCTTCTCGAATAAAATTAATAATATAATTTCTCAAAGAAGCAAATTGAGAGATTCCGACAAGATATGAGAAACGTGGTAACTACTAATTATAATAACGATGTGCAAATTGCTATTTTTTATATGCAGGCCAGAATACGCGTTAAGAATCGAAAGCGAAAAGCGGACGAGGCGTCTTGTCCGGTTTGCAGCGAGAGATTGTCGGGCACTCCGGAGGAATTAAATCAACACGTCGACCGATGCCTGAATAAGCAGAACAATGGAAATCCAGCCGGGCAGAACGCGAATGTCGACGAGGAAGAGGTTGACGTCGAGGGCGACCCCGAATACGAGGAGTACGAGTGGGCCGGGCAGACAAGAGTGCGTGCCACTTCCATGCTCGTTGGTGGGTTTTCTGGTAAGTCCATTTGCAGAGTTAAATTATACATATATTTACTGTGATATATACAGAATATTTATATTAAATTTGCGAAGCACATAATGCATGATTTTATACTTACCTAAAAACGCTGAATCGAATTAAATATTTTTTGCAAAAGCAAAAATGAAATAAATATACGTTAATCGTATAACAGGAAATTGTATAATCGTGTTATTTGCCTTTTGCATAAAAAAGCGTTTCGTATTTAAGATTAATACGGAGCGATATTAACAAGATTTAAATTTCTATAGAAAAAATATGGTATACTTTGTATTAATTGCAAATTGTTATTTTAAATAATTGTTTTTAGACAAATATTATTCTGGCGTTACACGCACCAAATAGTTTGCAACCTCAGTACTATCGAATACGTATAAGAGTGACACGGACTTTAGAGATCGCTATTCCTTTACTTCGCAGCCGCAGGCCTCGCCACTTCCTCGAGCAATCGTAGTGGTGCTAGGGGTGGAGGTAATCAGGAGGACGAAGACGTCGATCTGGTGGTCGATGGCGACGACGCCGCTGAGTTCGGTCCAGCTCAGTATTCCGAAGCGGATGTGGTCGCGCCGCGAGTCGATGGCACGCCGCGAGAACAGAAAGAACGGGACGCGCTTCGCGAAGCCGTTATTTCGCCGAACGCGCCGCACACGCCGCAGCAGCTGACTCCTGACTCCGGACTGACGGCGCAGGGTCTGGTCGAGGTGAAGCCGGAGCCGGGCGCCGCAACGCCTGTCGCCCAACAAAACGACCCCGACGAAGGTGCCTCCGGGTCACCTAGGAGAGACGGCGATACGCCCGTTCTTGAGGCCCTTCGCGGCCGCATCCGCGAGCTCGAAGCTGAGATGCGCGGACAACCCTTTAAGTGTCTCATTTGCATGGTGAGTTCATTCATCTCAACGATTATGAATAAAACGAAATTTCTATATCGCGTCTCTGATTTAAGTAATACTTAGGCATTTTGTTGTAAACTGAAAATTTGTTACAAAGGATTTAATATTCTTAACTCTTAACTGTCTTTTTGATATGACACACTCAACTTTTTTTTTCTAATACTTTTTCTATGCTTTTTCCACTATTTATAACTATTTTATTAATAAAAATGCATATATTTTCTTAGCGTTATGTTCCTTAATGTCTGACGTTTCACATGAAAAGATTAAGTTTTGAGGTAATTTGTACAAAAGTAAACGTGTTTTTTAAAATAATATTTATTGTTACGTTAATGTGTGTGTGTGTATGTGGTACGAAACAATCAATATGTATCTATATTTTTAAGACAAGAAAACAAAATTAAACTAAATAATACTGCTTGGAATTGAAATTTTGCTGAAATTTTGCAGAACAATTTATCGTTTGAATAATACGCTTCGCAAAATGAATGAAACAATCGTAATAATAAAAATTAGGTTTCGCTCTCTGAAAACGATTATTGAACGTAAAAACTGAACCGATTAACTTTCGAACGCTAATATGGCAAATGATTGTAATTGAGTCACTGTAATTAGTTCATCGTTATAGATAACTTGCTGGTTTTAATATTGTGAAAAATCAAATTGGACATGCAAAAATAAGCCGGAAAAACGGCACGCTTTATCGTATTTTATATTATTACGTATTTTATATTATTCCTTGTAATATTGCATTATACATATTATTTCATCCTGTTTCATCCGTGATCTGAAAATGCGCATTTCGTAACTCGTAAATAATTGCAACGACATATAAAAGCCGTGCATAAAATTCGACAGCGTTTTTTTCCATTAGCGACAGCTTGAAATATTTAGATCATCAAATAAATTATTTCTCTAATACGCCGCTCATATAAGAATTAACGAAGTAGCTAAGGAGCATTACGTGTAATATTACCGTTCAGTGTTTCCATCGTCGATGCGGTATTACCTGTCCACCAACTCGCTGTAACAGGTTCGCGATCACGCGAAATAACTCGCCACGCGAGATAAGACGACGATCTCGCTCGTAACGTGGTGGCAGTAAAACGCTAAAGGCATATCGACCTGCGGTTGTTATCAACCAGGATAAACAGCGGGCGTATTTGTCGATCCAGGAGGAATGCCGCTTACATAACGGTCGCGAATAACGATCGCTTTAATTCATTTCGTGAAAAACCGCCGGGAGAGAATGCCAATTCAGCTCGTGATCTCGCGATCGTTAAATCTTTCTTGCGTTATCGGTTGCACCGCATCTCGTCTTTGTCGCTCACGAGAAATTGGACTGGATATGGAATATCCTTTCCCCCTTCTCCACTGATTTGCATTAATCTAATGAGAAATTAAGATATTCCCTTTTCGACTTCGAGACGCGATTCATCTCGTAAACTTCAAAAACAATTATCGTCATACATTTGCCAATTAAGTAAATTAGCGATGTAATAAACCCTTATACACAGGTTATATCTTTTATATTGACACGCATATGAGAAATGGAGAGTATTGGTGCAAGTGAATTTGCTAATTATTTTATTTATCGAATGTGTGAAAAATCTCCATTTCAGGAACAATACAAAAAGCCGGTCACTTCGGTTTGTTGCTGGCACGTACACTGCGAACAATGCTGGTTGCATACGCTGGTGAGTATTAGTTGTTTATATGCTTCTGAACTTGGTTATTTTTCAGACGTTTTAAATAATTAAATTAAATTTTTTAAACTTATAACTCTAGACGTACCACGCAACTTACAAAATAAAAATAGCTGTTGAAATTTCTGTAAACGTTTCTATATACATCAATATCCAAGTAATCACACGAAAAGAACGATTTTTTAAATTTAGCTAAATATAGATCTGAAAATAATTTTGTTTGATATCAAAATAATTATGTAGAACGCTCAAGCTGGTTGCTATTATGGAATATCAAAACTTTTTGCAGCATTGCTTGTCATGGTTGAATTTCCTACATAATTATTTTGATGGTCCAACAAAATTATATTTTCAGATCTGTATCTACCTATAATTTTTAGGTACTTCAGTAAAATCGTTCTTTCCATGCATAATTGCCAGATCGACCTCTGAATTTAATTTTCTTTCGTGAAACTACAGCATTAATTTAATCGTCGATAAATATATTTAATGAAATTTGTGTTAACATGCTGAAATCCATTTTTATTCAAGTTTATTATCAATTTTCTATGCTCTGATTCTTCTGCAAGTTTGCGGCGAATTCTGTCAAGTGACAACTTTGGTTCCGACAATTGTTGAGAAACGAGGGCTTTCTTATCGCTGTTACAGGGCGCGAAGAAACTTTGTCCGCAATGCAACATGATAACGTCACCATCCGATCTGCGACGCATCTACATGTGAACAATCTGGCTGAACGTCCCTAAGGATCTACGTTCTCCACTCCAGGGATTCGGGATCAGCCGGGCAGCGTTATCAGCGAGCGTTCCGCTCTTGTAAATACTTGTATATTTTTCTGCGTTACGTAAATTAACTCTCTAGGATTTTAACATGTACGTTTATGCATCTTAGAGCTAGTAAATTAACTCCGTTAGTTCTTAACGATCATCAACCGAGCGTCGCTCCAAGATCACCCGATGCAGTTTTGCGCGTCTGCAACGATCGCAATCGATATATTCACTTATACTTACGAACTCGCCGTCCCTTCCGAAAACTGTCAATTTTTCCGCGAACCTTGCCGTACTGTTCTACTTTCATTTGTTATATATTGAAATTGTAATTATAAACTAGTTATTTCTAATTATGCAAGTATCAATCCGTTCTCAATGATTTTTCCGGTTTGACAATGAATTTTTTAATCTCATTTTTTAAATATTTAATTTGATATTGTTGCAATTTTCAAAGTTGAAATATTTGTGCAGACACACAAAAATAATTCTTATTATTTTTATCGAGCAATCATTATATATTATACATGGAAATATTTTACTGAAGTATCCAAAAATTTAGTTAGATACAAATCTGAAAATAATTTTGTTAGACCATCAAAATTTTTAGGTATAACACTTAAACTGATTGACAAAATTGCAAAAAAATTTTGACATTCTAGCAATCAGTTTGAGTGTTCTATTTGAAAATTTAGATGTTCTAACAAAATTATTTTTAGATCTGTATCTAGCTAAATTTTTTGATACTTGAACAAAATCATTCTTTCCGTGTAAACACTCTGGATTAAATGTATTACAGTGAATCGTCTGTTAAACACATGACAAAATTACGAGATGCAGACGACACTAATCCGCGTCGACGAAAGTCGCGTCATATGCTCTACATCATTATCTTCGTTTCACAAACGAGGATTAAGGAATCTTAAGATTATGCGAAGGAAGATGACGTGGGAGAAAGCCGATTGGCTAATGTAACTTTGTTTCTTTCTGACACAAATTTGTACGGAATTTACGACCATGTAATAATTAAGTTCTTTGAACAGTACGCGTTTTCTATTGATCGGCTTTCGACGCTCGTCGATCATATAATTACCAGAACTTTTAGATCATCGCCAAACCAATCTCTCGCAATGCACCAGCGAGCTAATAATGTAAATACACTAAACGGATCAAGAAGAAAAATAAGTCCCCCCGATCGCTGTTCTGTAATCGAAATAAAACGATCATGGAATGTACAATTGTGTGTGCTGCGTTTCACGAGTTTTTTTTTTCTCCCCAGCCACAAATCGACGATACAGATATTTTTGTAGGAAGAAGAAGATACGACAGGTACGTACAAAATATTTACTATTGTTTCTACTATTGATTGCTATTCGACATTCGGCATTCAAACAATTTAATACTTTCCATTTTTATTTCATTGAATATTTCCATACATTTAAAAAAGTCGAAAATATTAAAAGATTTTTTTTCGTGGAAATATTCTTTTCTACATTTTTTCCTCAGATACAAAATTGCAAATGTTAGTACTAGAGAAAAATTATGGATACTTCAAAATAATTAAATAAATGATTTAAATAAGTTATAAAATCGCTAAAGATACAAAAAGTAATACAAGTGTGTGAAGTTAATACAAAATTATATATCGTGCGAATTTACAATAAAATTTTCTTTTAAGACATTATAATATCAATCATTTTTTAAAGATTGTTGCTCGCCTAACAGCGGCTTTCTCGCAAATCTTTCAAGTAAGAATTATAGTTGTGAATTACGATAAATTAAAAAATTAACACGAGAAACGAAATAATTTACTAAATTTAATCTCCTTGAAGCGAATTCAAATAAAATTTAGTTGCGTCACGAAGTCGCGTCCGCAAGAAAGAGGAAGAGAAAGAAAGAGAGAGCGAATGGCAGGTAAAAATACACTACTGTGTGCGAGTTTTGTAAATGTCTAACGTTTAATTTCCGTTTCTTATCTCCGTGCTACGTACTCGCTTCGAAAGAGCTTTGATTAAAGCCGCAGCGGAAGGGGAATCGGCGGGATCACGAGGAGAGAGCAAAGAGGTCACCGTGGTGGCGGTCCTCGAGGAAAAAGGGTCACGCAAAATGGCGCGCCGGGTTTACGAACCGTGTAATAGACGAGGACGGGGGCGGGTAGCGGAGACGGAAGTAGAGGTGGCGAAGACGGAAGTAGAGGAGGCGGCGGCGGTGAAAGTGGCGACGAAGGTGGAGCTCGGCGTCGCGCTTCGTATGGATCCGCACGGGCGGATTCACAGAGAGGGAGGGAAAGAGTCTGCAGTTTGCTGGGCGCAGGCGGGATGCACTTTGAGGTGCAAGAGCGGAACGGGGTCGCATGGCAAGATGGTGGCTCGGTATACGAACTCTTACGCAGCAAAAAGAGTGCCTATATGGAGTCCTCACTTACTTCGTACGAGATGGTTACATATTAAATAAATGGCAGTGTTGTAATCGAAGGAGAAAGTGGACGAAGGAGTTACATTGTATTATTTACAGACTCGACTTTAGAACTCAATCGATGATCGCGATGGACGTTACAGCCATTAGAAGTTCATCACTTATTTCGTCAAAATATAAAAAATTTTCCCATCAATCTTTCAACAATATTAGATAAAATTAGATTAAACAATTTTTGTATGATAGAATGATATAATCTTCCAGCTGCTGTGACAAATTTTTTTTTCAGAGTAACAACCTATTATCGTGAGAGCCCTTTAGTTTTTAATTTATTGCACGAACAACAACGATTGCATG